GATGTTACTGTCAAAGAAAAACATTCTATAACTCTTCTTTTAGTATGCTACATTTACACATCTTTACATGTCAAGACTTAATTATTACCTTACAGCAAAGTGTTTTGGAGTTGTTCCCCCCGAGATTCCTTGATTTCCAAGTAATTTCCCCAAAGCATAACCTTGGGCAAAATACACCACCCTCCTCATCCCCACCCCTAAGGAAGTAGTGATATTTTCTCTTGAAGTTATTTGTTGATTTACTTTTAAAGGAAACTAAGAACATGTTCAGAAATTAATGCTTTCACAAATCCAAAATAAAACTATTAATACTTGACTACACACATTCATACAACACATATCTAACACAGCCACTTTCAGGATGCTATACTAACACTCCACGCAATAACAATTATTCTTTTATTTAGCAAAAACTACAGTAGGTAAATATAGTGAATGAGACCTATTCATAAAACTCCTGAACCCAGCTCACACCTTTGGAAAGTTCTTGTGTTTATAATTCAAATTCAATGCATGTTATTCTTCTTAAATATACCAGTTAAAACCAGATATCACATTCCAATGTTTGGAGAATTTTGCCAACTGAATCAACTTATTATAATTCATATAAAAATTATAGCATAACCAGCAGAAATCACAGTTAAGAGTTCAAGTTTAAACAAGAGTTCTATTTTCCAATGACTCTGAGACCATTGTGAGAAATGTGCCAAGTGAGCATAAAGAAAATGCCTCCTGAAAAAAATTATTGTCATCATCATCTGACAACATTTACTCGACACACTCTTGGCATGATGCAGAACCAAACCCTAAATGAGGAGGTTTGGACATTACTGAAGGAATTTTCACTTTATGCCAATCCATAAGTGGGAGTTCTGGGAGGAAAGAAAATCAAGCAATGCTTAGTTCATCTTGCTGTGTCCTCCGACCTTAATGACTTTACATTGAAGTAAGCAGTACACAGGCAGGCAAGGCACCTTACATTTGCTATGTTAAAAAAAAAAAAGGCAACTGTATCAACATGTGTACTCCTGTCTCCTTTCATTTCCTTCTTAATTCTCCACTTTATCTCAAATTGTCCTTTCTATCAATCACAATAATCACTACAGATCTAATAAGTTCCTTTACCATTTGTTAAAGATCTATGTCTACCTTAAATTTGGAATAGTAAGAGATAAAAGAAAAAGATGTCCAACATACCTTTTTAAATAGTTTGATCTATACTGTTATACTATACATACTAAACTTGCCAGATTGTTATAACTACTGCATACTTCGTGCACTTATATTGCCATTCCTACAGTAAGCTAAAATAAAATAGCTTTAGAAATGGAAAACAATTACTTCCCCTGCAACTTCCATTATTAGGATAACTTTAATAATTTTGCTTAAGTTTTCAAACATATAAAAATGTTTTAAAACATAATGTACACTTTTATCCAAATTTTATCACTGTTAATCTTTATTATGAGTACTATGTCTTCTATTCAATTTTAAAATATATTTATAGCCATAATACTTCATTTTAGTTTCATTTAGATATTGTGCAAAATTACAAAAAAGTTATATATTTTATTGGCATAACTGTGATTAATTAATTGGCTATTGATGTGAAGATAGCTATGCACAAAAACAAAATGTACGCATGCATGAGAAATTTGGGGGACTGATAATGATCTAGAGACACTCATGAAAGCAATATTTGCACATTTTCCTACCGACATCTCAGTGACTCTGCACTTCTAACAGTGCTTTCCCATGCAAGAACATTCTGTGCTCTTACAAAGTCAAGGATCACCATTTTGAGGAGACAATATTATGTTACATTGTCAAGAGCCAAGCATAAGATTTGGTATAACAGTGACAAAAACAAAAAAACAAGGATGGGGTGACCTTGAAGGGGATATCAAACTATGTTAAGCACCATATTTGTGTGTGTATATAACATGTATATTTGAAATATACCAGGGGTGCCAAAAAAATGTATACACAATTTGTATTCATCTTTTGTTATCAGTATATATTGAGCATTACAATTTTAATATAGTTCCTTCCTTTCTTAAAATGTGTATACATTTTTTGGCACCTTCTGTACAATAGTCACAATACTATCTATGTTTAACTGGAGTGACTGTCTACTGCAGAACAAAATAGCTATTCCTCATTGTGTAGCACAGATGTTTTCAAAAGGCTGCTATACTGAATCCTACCTTCTGCTTACCATCCCTTATTTTGTCAGACATAATTCCCTAGGCAGACTAGATGGAATGCTTACCCAGATGCCAGGATGTGGCTCGGTGCACACAGGTGAACTCAATGTATCTCTCTGCTTTAACTCTCAGATTCTCCTCTTCCCATGCAATTCCTAGCCTTTGTCTTCAATCACTTTCTACCATTACTGTAAAACTAAAACACAGTGGTTCTTAACCATTTTTTGTCTCTTTGAGAAGCAGATGTATGCAGGGCAAATTGTAGTCATGAGTGTGTCTCAGGCAGTGATTCTTAAATCTTTTTCAGGTTATCAAACCTCGCTCCAGAAAAATACACACGGGCACACAGAAAATGTAGTCTACACGACGTGGATTCTCCCATTAAAAGAAAGGGTAGAAGAATGGCTCTCGTGGAAAGTGTGTCAGTTAAGAGAGGTCCCAGGGGCACACTTTGAGAACCACCAGTATAGAAGTCTGTTCAAATATTTCGGAGGACTATGGACTACAGTGTGAAAAAAGGATTCAACTTAATTTTTAAAAATTTTAGATAGAGCTAAAAAAAAATGAAATAGACATGATTGTCAAACAATCATACACTCTTCCTAAAGTGGCCAGCTTCTGTCACTGTAAATGTACTGACAGACTCTAGATGACTGATCATCTCTAAATGGAAACTGCAGAGAGGATTGCTACCTTGGATAAGCATTTGTTAGAACATCTGACCTCCAAAATCCCTTCCAAGTGCAATGTTCTAAGATTATGTAAAGAGTGGCCTGGCATATGGTTTCTGCAAATGGGCCAATACTCTTAATCCCCATGACTCCTAACAGTCTAAACCAAGAAAAGGAAGGTAATCTGTATGTCTCCTATACAATCTTAAGGAAAATAATAATTGACCGATTAAGCAATTGTTTACTGGGTCTTACTCTTAGTCAAACTCCATTCTAAACATTACAGAGCTATTATCACTCACATCTCCCAAGGCATACATGATTTTATGAGGTCCCTTTCCCAAGTTCCCCGCCCTCCTCCTTGATTTCCCCAGTACTTTCTGGTTCCCTGGGGTTCTAGAGCCCTTTTGGCACTCTGCCCAGAAAGCTGGGGCTTTATTTACCCCGTTTTGCCACTTACTTTCTGCAACTGTTCCTGCAGTGGGAGCCACCCGGCAGGAGGACAAAAAGGGAAAGAGCACAGGCAGCATGCTCTACCCTCTTGTGACGACTGACCCCCTCCTCAGAAAGGAAGTCTCCCCTTCCTCAAAGTTTAAGTCCCAGTGCCCTCCTCTGCTAGGAGCCACCACGTCTACTTCTCAAGCCAGGAGTAGAGGGCTGCGTGGAGAGCTCTCTCTGCCTTCCTCCATGTCTACTTCCTGGTTTCAGGCTATGTGGAAACCAGGCCCTGTGACAACACAAGGGGAAGAAATGAATGGCAAACACCCCCAGTTTGGTGGGACTTCAAATTCTGGTCTTTCCTAATTTGCCTGCCATTATTTACTTTTCAGAAGCTTCAAATAGCTGCTCCATTCATCTGGTCCAGGTTTCGTAATAGTTGCATTCGTGGGAGACACGGGATGTCATGTGATTCCACCCTCTCACCTGGAACTGGAACTTCCCGAGCTTATATATTATGCGTTTATATTTTAGGGTTGGTAAACTTTCACTGTAAAGGACCAGAGAGTAAATATTTTAGGCTTTGAGGGCCACACATGCATATTCTTTTTTTATGCAACCCTTTAAAAGACTATTCTAAGTTCACAGGTACAAACAGACCATACAGCCATTATTTGCCAACTCCTGTATTAGAATACATTATTTGTCTCTAAACATATGAAAATGCACACAAAGACAAGTTGTGGTACAAGTTATGCTTTACATCACTTTAACAAATTAATATCTACCAAAATCTAAATGGGAGAAAAAGGGTGCTCTTTGGCACAAGCAGCTTTCATCAGTGCTTATGATAAAGCTGTTGGGAAAAATGCTTTTGTTTATATTTAATATATTTAATCATTTATAATAGGGTCTAATAGATGTCTTATTATTTACTGTAAATACTATATTAGTGAATGTTATTATTGTTTAGCAGTAACACTAATGAAAGTCACAAGGAATTATCTTTCAGATCCATTCAATTTCTTCTCCCAGCATGTGGATAAAAACGGAATTCTATAAAAGCTATCATACTTGTCACTGACTTTTTNTATATATATATATATATATATATATATATATATATATATATATATATATATATATTTAAAATTTGTAGCAGAGGATAGTTTTATTAGAGCAGAAAGTTACAGCTCTCAAAATGGAGGGGGTCCCGACTGGGATGCCCCCAAACTTTATTATATTTAATGATAGAAATAAATGTGGGAATTTACAAAGGTTTCAAGATGTAGAGTATTCTCTTATTAACATTAATGAGGTCTCCTCTCTAAACAACTACACTTGTTAATAAGGTAATTAGAAATCCATTAGAGAATTAAATTTTATTTATTTAATCCCTGGAAATACTGTTGCTATTGTAGCTGCACATTAACTCGATTGTTTTCTTAATATTTTACATTTTTAAAGTACCACAGGGCTATTGGGAAGTCTAGCCAGCAAACCACTTACCCAAATTCAGCGGTCTGTGCCTACAAACTTCACTGATAACTGCTTGCAGATTGGCAGCTATCTGGTCACTTGACATATCCAGCTGAAAGAAAAGGATATATAACATTAATGATGTAAAAGTGAGAAGGTAATAAAAATGTTGGTAACTGTATCAGTATTTATTCTAGACAGTGTTCTTCAAATATTCAACTAATGCAAATTATCTATTAAGAGGAACTACAGTGAATAGCTCTGCAATAAACAGGGGTGCATCTATTTCTTTCGAATTAGTGTTTTGGATTGCTCTGGATAGATACCCAAGAGTGGAATTGCTGGATCATATGGTAGTTCCATTTTCAATTTTTTGAGATACTTCCATACTGTTTTCCATAGTGGCTGTACCAATCTGCAATCCCACCAACAGTGCACGAGGGTTTACATGTGGAATCCAAACAACAGAATAAGTGAAAAAACAAACAGAAATAGACTCAGAAATATAAGGAAAA